ATTCAAAGAGGGTGAAGAAAATCGTGCCACCACACACTAACTTCCATACATATAGAAAAACACCTGTATTTTATTCATTTCTAGACGTTTCAAAAAGCCCTGAGCACAAAAACGTAAAAATTTTCGATTTACTACTTCATACTTTTTACGATTCATACTTTTTTCCTGTTATATATAACAGAGTCGAGAGTAGACATATTATTTAATACGTTTACCTAAAAATTTATAAATCTTACTTGGTAGGTAAATGTATGAGATATCCTTGAAAACGTCAGTTGTCCTTGAAAACATATTTGTGCCTGACATTACTTATTTTTTAATGTTTGAATCATATCGGCTCATAGAAGAGTAAGAAGTTACCTCTGTTGTTTCTACACAATAAAATACTTATCCTGGTTTGTTTTACTTTTTTATTTATAACTATTACCGTTATATTTTGAAACAAATAACATATTTATGTTTATTTATTCTTTTTATTAATTTAATAAAAATGTTTTATTCGGAATTAAATTTTAGAATAAAATATTAGTGTGAATTTAGTTTTAAACTTGAATAATTTGGCTTGTAACTTGTATAAATGTATTATTTGACGGTTGCAAATAATAAATACAAATAATTTTACTAATTTATATTATTTTTTATTAAAATTATTTATAATTTTATTCAAAATTTATACGCTTAGAAATTAATTATTATTTTTTAAATGTTTCTTAGGCTTACTTTATATTTTTAATTTAAAAATCTCTGTCAATTTTTCATCAGTGAAAGTAAAAAATAAAATTATTTTAAAATATAAAGTTAAGATATTAAATGAAAAACAGACTTTCGGGCTGATTCTTGATAAATATAATTCGGAATTTCTATCAGTCGGATTCTAGTCTCGTGTACGAATAGCAACACAAAAGCGTCGAGAACATCATGTGTTACAAACTTGAACAATGAATGATCTCAGGAAAGAAATTGGTACCATGTGATGTTCTCAACACATTCCTGTTGCTACTCCTACGACTCCAGACTGAAAAGAATTACTGTTTAACTCAGGAATTCTGAACCTTTACTGGCTCAGGAATGATGTCATCATTTCTTAATCTATAAACATACGCAAATACCGCAACGAAAAGAGGAAAAAGTTAACCTGCTGAGTTTGGAAACGAAAAATCCAGTAACGAGTTGCTTAACTTTCCCGGCAACATTTGGTGGTGACATCTTATATTAGATTTTCTCAACCTGTAACGAATCGTCGCCCCCTTCAATGTAGTATCGCCCCCTTCGCTTCAAAATTCCGATGCCGAAAGCCAAGGCTAATGCCAAATTCGTACTGCATTGAATAGACTAGTGACTAGTATAATGTTATTTGTTTAATTATTGTACGATATAACAAATAAACTATCTAATTATTCTTAATATAATGTTTTATTGTATCGGCCAGAAAATTGTTTTTCGCCCCCTAAAATAGAAATTGTTACTAATCTCCCCCTCAACATGGAAAGTCACCCACATGGGGGCGATATCGCCCACGTTGAGAAACACTGTCTTATATCATATTTTATTTTAAAAATTATATGTTTTTAACTATAACAAAATGGCAAAATGTTCAATTTTGAGGGTAGGGATGGGTTTTATAGAAAATCTGTAAATGCTAATAACGGGGAAAATCGTCATTAAGTTCGACCCTACTCCAAATAAACACGATTCTCATTATCTCCCCACCCCATCGACGTTTAATCACCAAATTTAATAGCATCAATCCACCTAATGCACAAGTCTTCATACAAAATTTCAGAAATTTTCGAGGAAAAGCAGAGGAGTTTTTAAGATTCAAACAATATAAACAAATTCGTGTCTTCCACACACTCGAACATCTATCTATACATACAGTAAATATCCTCCAAGTTTTTTTTTTTTTTTTTGCATTTCGCGGCGTTTTAAGATGTCCTGAGTCCAAAACTGTAAAAATCTTGGAGGGTCATGTTTTGACCTTCGTTATACTTACTTATGTTATATATAACAGCCTGAAAAATAAAAATTTCACTTGCAGTTGTGTATTAATCGGTGGTGGAATATAAAAGTTTTTTTTTGCAGGATTTGGTGGATAATATAAATATAATCTCTGGTTTTATGTTAACTGTTTTAAAGATTTATGTTTTAACGTATTTATTTTGTGGTTATGTTATTTTTAATTGTTTTATGGCAATAGAGAGGGGTGTTAATTAATCTTAAAAAATTTAGTAAAGAGTTTGTCAGTTGTTTCCTTTATCTACAACACTTTAACACTGAGGAAAGATGAAAGAAAAATGAATACTGACTATACATATTTGATTTACTTGTATAGGACAAAGCGACACATGCGACTTTATATTAGAAATTGAACGCTATTTAAGTGTTACTGACGTAAAGAAGATCCGAAAAATTCCACGTGGCCAGCCCGTTGTCCGAGCGACAACCCATCACTAACAGTTCAGTGGTTTTATCCATTCGACCAGCGGCGCCCGTAGATTACGAAAAAGGAAGTCACAAACTATAAAAAAACGGCTTGGTACTGTACATTACGCAAGGAACTTAACGTCGAATCAGCACTATCATAAGATAGCACTGGCTGCACTCAGGGCTAACTTGGCTTTAAAAACAAGAAATGAGGGTTTGATCAACATACGACGAAATTGCATAGGTGAATGGACAGATAGCAATCTTTAGTTTCTTTTATATTCGAAGAATGGTGTAGAAGTCATGAATTTTCTGTTGTTTGGAGCCTTCTTGGAAATTAGCAAAGTACCAATCGAGACGAAAGAAGGGGCACGTGTTCCAAGTGCTCCAATGTACGGGCGCCCCAGTACTCTACCACTGGTGGGCTCCTGGTAACTATACCGTATATGTTTTTGTAGAAAGCAGCTTACACTTATAGTAAATATGTAATCTTCGTATTTACTATAAGTGTAAATTACACTTACAGCGACAAAATATATTGAAGGGTGTACAATCTAGTTCGTAAAATGCAGGGGCGGATCTAGGTTTTTCGGAGCCTAGGGCTTATTGAAGTCCAATGGGGTACCATTTACAATAAAAGAAAACAATACTATAAATTATCATTATTATTAATATTAACTATGTTTTACTATACGATAAGTGTTCATTGTTAATGAAATATTATTAAAAATTTATAATAATAATTCAATTTTTATTTGTCCTTGACACTTGGGACACATGGCTTAGACCCTATTAGTCTCTATGTACCGTACTGTACATCAATTTTTAACGCTGATAACGAATAACTTGGAGTTAATTGGAAGTTAATAACTAGTGGTATTAACGTGTTTTCGTTAAAATTCCATAAGAATAATCATCGGAAAAATTCCTAATTATAACATTTAATAATGTATAATACGTATATGATTTATTACGGTAAAGCCTAAATTTAAACTTTTATTATTTTGTTAGGATAATAGTTATAACTTCATGAGGCCCAGGTAAATTTGAATGAATGGGCCCAACGGTGAGTGTTGATTTCAGACATTTTTCTTCCAGGGAATTTTTTGGGGGAAGTATTTTCTTATAAAGGATTCGTTTGTAGCCCCCTGTTGTGCGGAGCCCCAGGCAATTTTTTTTTGCACATGGGATACCTTGCCATTCAGAAAAATACGATTTTGAATAGTCAAATTAGTAATACCTTTCTTACTGTTTCGGCAAGTAAAACAGTTAAATTTCATAAAGTTTTTTTAGAAAATATAAAGTGAATCATTTATTTAATAGCAGTCTGTTAAAATTTATTAAACGAATTATTTATAGTGATGTAACGAATATTCGGTTATTATTCGGTATTCGGCCGAATACCGAATACCTAAAAACAGGAGTAAGAAATAACAAAAACACTGTAAATTAATTATTTTGGTATTTAGATTCAATGTTATCGGGTTAGTGTTATTTGTTTATATTTATTTATAACTTATAACATGCACAAAATATATTTTGGGCAAATTTATATTTATAATAAATATGATAACTGATGGCTCCACCAAATGTTGCCGGGAAAGTTTAGCATCTCGCTGCTGGATTACAGTAGAACCCCTCTAATCCGTCACCTTTGGGACTGGGGGTATGGTCGGAACGCAAAAAAAATCGGATTATCAGAAAAAAGTAAAATAAACAATCTTCCCCTTTGTCCAGTCTTTGTAGCACTGCTAATTTTTCATTTAATGAAAGAGCAACGTGTTTACTTTTCACTCCTGACATGTTGAAAACACGCACAAAACTGTACACGTACACACAATGTAAAACATATACTGTAACGAACACAGAAAAACTCCACGGACGGTGAGTCACCGACGAGTCGGGACAAGTTTCTCGACTCCGACCACAGTCGGATTAACCGGAGTGACGGACTAGCCGAGGGCGGACTAGAGGGGTTCTACTGTATTTTAAGTTTCAAACTAGAAAAATGCAAACTTATATTAAATGTATTAATTCAAGTGAGTCATACATTTCCTATTATAAAGATTTCTCTGATAAAAAAGAGCTAGACGAAGCTATCCAACGTTATCTTAATTCTCTAATTTCTTATTTGAAAATAAAAAGCTGGTGGCCTGTTCAAAGTGTTCTGAGTCCAAAACTATAAAGTCTTTGAGGGGATCATTTTTTGACCCATTGCCATACTTACCCTCGGTTTTACATAACAGAGTTGTTTATGTAAAATTAAAGAAAAAATAATTACACGACGAATATATATCATACTTAAACCTACGTTAATTATATACGATTTTATTGGAATGAATTCAAAATTTAAACTTTTATTATAAAAGTTTTATATAAAAGTTTTAAACTTTTTTTATAAAAGTTTTTAAGCATTTCGTTTTGAAATCGATAATTATTATTTGAAGGCTAGAAGTACAGATGTTCTATATAATTTTTCAAGGAAATTCACGCCAGCCTTAACTTTACATTTTTGTCATAAACAAACTATTAATTAGGAAGCTGAATAGTAATTTGTCTCTATCTATAATTTTCATTGTGCGTGAAGCAGGACCTCGGAGATTATTATCAACTGTTTGTTTCCTTAGACGACAATTCATTACGTTCGGCAAAACAGGAAGGATCTGATAGGGAAGTAAGTCCATTTTATGTGCATTGTAATCTTTTTATTTTAATAATTTTTGTTTTATTTCTCTATGTATTTAAGTTTTTTGCTATATTTAATCGGCCAACGTGTTCTAACACATAAGTTTCATTAATATATAACAGTGAAACGTAGGAAATCGATATTTCAAGTTGGTACGATATACTACTAATTACTAATCGAATTTGAATTAAGCAGAAAAATTAGAAAATTCTGTTGTCGAAACGACTATATTTTCATACATTTTAGTAAAAAAATCTTAGCATCTAACTTATGGAATTGTAGTAGTTAGATCTAACAAGCGAACTGTCGGAGTGTCTTCTAATAAATTTTAATAGAATTTAGTTAATAACTACGTTAAAAGTATACAAACTCTATTTTAAATTAGTAGCATTTACTAAAAGTGTTGATCAGAGTTATTAGCAATCAAATGTTGCACTACTTTATAGTAGTTGAACACTATTATGCAAATTTTTAGAAGTGAAAGGGTCGCGGAGAAAGACGGCGATATTACATTTAGAATAAATTCTGGAATTTTCAAAAATGGTTGAAGAATTAATAAAATTTTGTATACTTTTAACATAATTATTAACTAAATTTTATTAATTCTTCAACCATTTTTGAAAATTCCAGAATTTATTCTAAATGTAATATCGCCGTCTTCCTCCGCGACC